GGGCGGCGGCCGCTGCTGTGAGAAGGTGACACTCGTCCGCCATGGGCATTCACTTCGGGAATCTGGGCTATGTTCGCCACGTTATCACCTACAGCCTCTCTCCTTTCGAGCAACGCGCTTTCCCGAACATCTTCTCGCAGGCTTTGCCCAACGTTTGGCGGCGTTTCAGCTCCCAGGTCTTCAAGGTGGCTCCCCGTGAGTATCTGTGGCCTAAGGGGCTGAATTTTTCTTCTTTTCTCCTCACAATTGGCATTTTGAGGATGAGGGGAAGGCCAGGACAGGCGGTGGTGGAGCGGTGGCTTTGTGTAAGGCTGTTTCTTGTCGCAGGAGTTTATTGCAGGGTGATTTGTGAGTATCCCCCTTTTCTTTTCCAGCTTTTGTGGGAGCCTATCTCCTTTATTCCTGGGGGATGCAAGAGTTTGAGCGGCTGAAGAGGAAGAACCCCGCTGACTATGAAAACGACCAGTGATGGAGTTGATAAGGAGGTTGTTACCTCGCTGTGTTATCACCTTGGTGTTGCTGAGCTCGTTCACATGACGAGAAGGGTATTAAGAGGGATAAATCTCGTCTAATAAACATCAACTTTGCCCCATGACTTTGTGTGAGGTCTGTGTCTTGAGATGTTTAAGCAGCAAGTCTCCAGGCTGCACAGAGTGATAATCGGGCTAAAGTTTTGTGTGCTCAGACTCTTGTCATATTAGAGCATTTCCAGCCTTTCTTTGACTCCTGTTTCTTTGAAACATTTCTCACGGAGGGAGGGCTGCCTTCAGCTAGGGATGATTTGAAATAACAGCTCACAGCTACGCTCGTTGCTCCCTTTCTCTTTCCATCACTGGCCAGTTCTTTTTCCCCTAAGCTTGGTATCTGTGAAAAATAGAGAGGCCGCCTTGTTTGGTGTGGACCAAAGCTGATGGCTCAGGGTTGAACATGGACTTTGAGCTCTGGGCAGAGGCTCTCCCTTCAGCAGCCGCATACAGGAAACACGGGGCAACCGGGAACAAGCTGCACAGGGAGAGGATTCATCTCGATGTAAGAAAGGAATTTTTTACAGCGAGAACAATCCCTGGCTGGAAGAAGCTCCGGGGACATGGTGGAGCCCCCAGCGCTGCAGGTTTCCACCGTGTGACTAGACAGGGAGCCGGATAATCTCTGGGCTCCCTTCCCACGAAAGGTTGGACCAGGTCACCTTTCAAGGTCCCTTCCAACCTGGGCTGCTCTATGATTCTGTGATACTAATTTACCTGGTTATCATATTAATTAATGTTAATGAGGCGATTAGCTGCAATTCTGATACCTGATTAGTGTCAGCAGGCTAGACTAGAAGTTTCTGCTTGGAAACTACCAGGACAAACAAGATTGTTTAATACCTGAAGATAATTTTTAAAAAGCTTTGCTGTTTAAAGTCCACAACATCTGGCTGGTTCCTTTATCCTTTTTTTTTTCCCTTTCAGTCTTGAGCTAACTGTCTCACGCTCACGCCTTATGCAAAGCAACACGTTTCTCTCCCTGTCGTGCTATTCCTGAAGCTGGTCTGGAGTTTATCTCATCCACAGGGCGGGAGCGATGTTTCCCGTGTTAAGTTTCTCGGTGTGCTCAGGGCTGGGCTGTCTGGAAGACGAAGGTGCTCCGTCTCTCACTTCAGGAAGATGCCGGCTGTGCTATTTTTGTAGCTCAATGCTTCATTCTTTTGGGGCTCTTAATGTGTTTAAGAAGCACAGCTCACTCTTCTTGCTGTTCCTACTGCTCGTGTTTACTCCGAACACATTCTGAGCACAGCTCAGTCTTCTGGCTGTTCCTACTGCTCGTGTTTACTCCGAACACATTCTGAGTTTGGCATAACCAGGAGCCATACGAGTCATCCACTGCTGCAGGTTGGGCCAAGAATATTCTGTGCTTAAATTTAACTCTGCGTTTCAGTTCGTTGGTATTTTCTAGGCACCTTCAGCAAGAAGGGAGCGAGGAACTGGCTACTGTGATCGAGGGAGCTGGCAAAGATGTCTAGAGGCTTGTGTCCTGCTTATTCCCCTCCAAGAGCACCCACAGCAGCTGACAGGTGGCCTGAATGATAGCACGGGTGAACTTCTATGTTGGCAGCTTTAGTAAATTCTTGGTTTTCAATGCATTTTGTCCCAGCAACTCTGCAAAAGGTGAGCAGCTCACCTCGGCCTCTCACAAGGTCTCTGTCCCCGTTCACAGCCAGTGGAACAGTCTGAACCAGCCGCCAGACTGCTGCCAGCAGCGGCACCTTCCCCCCAGCCCAGCCAGCACTCCTGCAGCGTCAGCAGCCAGCCTGGCCCGTCTGCCCCGTGGTGTGTCGCAACCCTGCCGAGCCATCCCCTGCCTCTGGAGCGCCTGCGCTGGCCCTGGCCGCCGGCAGGGCAGGGAGCCAGAGGTAGAGCCCGTTACCGGCGGGATGTGCGCGGTCAGCAGTCCGGCCAGCGGATATTTCAGGATCTGAACAAGGTGCCTGGAAATTTCCCAGTCATCTCATTCCCTTCTGTTCTCCCTTTGCTAAATGTTACAAGCAGCATTCCTTTGTGGCTTTTTTTTTTTTTTTTTTTAATAAGCTTTGTCGTCACTGTCGTTTTGCTGGCATGCTGGTGGAAACAATTGTTCAACGTTTTTTTTATTTTCCTGAGTTTCTTGCACAGAGTAAACGGATTGCTGCCTGAAAGGGACAGGCTGACACTATCAGTAGCCCAGAAGGGCACACAACAATTTTTGATGTACCATCACAAATCAGTGGCCTTACCCAGCCAAACAAGCTGCAAAACGCTGACTTAGAGAGGGCACTGCTGTCAGAGCTGAAAGAGCCGTCACTCCACAGACGAAGTCAAGGCTACTGCTGCCGCCTCTTGCTTTCCTTTCTCTGTTCTTTCCTACTGCCTACTGGAAATAGCAGAAATTAGAATTTAGGAGCGTGTAAAACAAAGGACTTCATGGGAAAAACAACTGAGAAATTCACAGCCAAATGTAAAAGGAACTTTGAAGTTCAGCTGTTTGATATGCCATGATCTCCTGTCCCCTTTCCTTCCTTTCCTGAGACCCAGGAAGGTGAACTACTGAAGGGTTTTGGTTCCTCCTCCGGGGAAGCAAAGACAAACGGGGCATAGGAAGGAGTGTGAGAAGAGCCCTAGGGAAGGAACAAATTTTCCAGGAGTCATTGTAGACAATATGCTGGGAAGGGTTTTTATTTAATCCCAGTAGAGTTTGGGCTGAGGGGTAATCTCATCCTGTAGACAGGAACCTGACAACGTGCCGTTATCTTAATCTAACTTGCCTTCCACGCTGGCACTTGTGCCTCCAAATTAAGCAATCACAGAAAATGGGAGCCTGTTCCATCCAGACTTGTCCTCACAACTGAGCTAAAACATATTTTATACAGCATCTTCCTGAAGGAACTGAAGCCAGCATGTGCTGCAAACCCTACACATGCTTGACATGAATAAATGGGTTTTCTCTTCACAGTTCTCTGCAGTCTCCAAAATCTTGCACCTGACAGGCACTGCACGGATGGGACAGATGTGGGAGCTGGGTGCACGGAGGAGGAGCAAGGACCAGCCAAGTCCATTGGCAGAGGGGGGATCCCAGACATTCGCTTCTCCACCTGTCCCAGAGTTGTAAACCGAGAGGATGAGAGAGGAGAGGTAATGGCTCTTTGTAAGCATTCTTTTCTCGAGGCTGTTGCAACCTCATTTCACAATGGAAAAAATCAAGATTCCTCTTCCTGACAGAGTGCCCACCCACATCACAGGGTGCTGGCACATTTCAGAAGACCGATGGTGAGCGACACTGTCAGGTCCGGAGGCAGACCGTGGCAGAACGGCTCATCTACAGCAACCAGAGTCTTGCTGCATGGAGCAACTCGGCTCTGGGAAACCTTCTGCTCCTTTTGGGATCAGCTATCCAGAGACTATTAACTACCCATCAGCATCCTTGGACGAAAAACTCTGATTTCTCACACACAACACGCTTTTTACATTCCAAACCCCATCTGAACAGCGTTACATCTGCTTTTCGAGTACCATGTATGGAAAGGAAGGTTAAGGAACTTCCTCGTGATGCTTTCACGTCCTGAGCAGCAGGATCCGAAGCATGATTCTCGGCTGCAGATAGGGGTGATAAGACACCACCTACCACCTGCTGACAAAGCTGCCCTCCCTGTGCGTGTCACAGGAGGCAGATAAGGTTCTGGCTCCTGATCTTTACCATGCTCCGGGCCAACAGCCCTTCTGCTTGCAAATACACCACGGAGTTCTGGTAACGCGCTGGGTAGGTTTTATAAAAAGGAACAGTTGGCACAACTGGGGAGCTGACAGACAAAGTACAGGTGGAAGGAGAGTAAATCATTAGCTCGAGAGACAGGCCTTGAACCAGATCGCTTCGGCAGATGCTAACTTAGTAATTCCCTCTCGCTGCGAAACGACCTTTGCTCCTGTAATGACTGACAGCTGATGCAGCGATAAGAGGATGAAGTCTATAAAAATCTCGCTGAAGCTTGGGAAGGTCTATTTGGGGCTCTTTCCACCGCCTCCAGCCAAGGCTGGTCCTACGGCCGAGTGCCAGCTCGCGGCGTGAAGATGCACTGTTGGAAAGTGATGGCTCTCGCCTTGCTCTGCTCGCTGCTGCTCAGCCAGGTAAACACGGAACTAGTTAAAGTGATAATGCAAACGGTCAGGGGGTTAATAAAAACTGGTATGATAAGAATAACTGGCAGGAGTTAGAGGTGACAGTGCAGCTCTTTTAGAGGATTCAACATCATAGAAAAGTAGAGTAACTGTCTAGGGAATACTGGGTTACTCCAAGACATAATTTAGCAAGGAATTCTGCCCTCCCTACCAAGAAGATTAAAAAAACATAGTTAATTTTTATACTTCATACTTCTTTAGAGATAGGATACAAGCAATTATGCGTGTAACAGAGCATGCTATGACCTAAAAATGAGAAAGATGTAAAGTTCTTTAAATTTTAAAGTTAAGACTGTTGACCTCAGCATCAGAATGCCCAAGTGTCAGCAGCTGCTGCGGGTTCTGAGTCCTGCCACGACTCTGTTTCAGACGCACTGTGCTTCCCTGCACCACCACCAGCCCCGGCTCACCAGGCAGAGGCGGATGACGCCTTTCTGGAGAGGAGTCTCGCTGCGACCCGTCGGAGCCTCATGCAGGGACAACAGCGAATGCATCACAATGCTCTGCAGGTAACTGATCCCCATCAACCTTTGGGCTCAGCCATGCTTGGGATTAGGAAGCTCCTACTTATTCTCACCCAAATGAGATCTGGAGTTAATCCTGTGCATCCAAAGGGTACCAGGAATAGGGATGGGGCAATGCCTCTAGACCCTTTTGTAAGCAAAGCAAACAGAGCAGAGTCCAAGTGTCCTTGACTACAAGGCTCAGTCCCTTCGTGGCAACCCCAAATGACCCGTCTTTCCAGAAGAGAACAGAGGACTCTAGACAGCTTTTGGGTAATCACTTAGACACCTTGAATGAATCCTCCTTAAAGCCACTCTAAAGCACACTTTAAAGCTCATATTAATTAAAAGCAGCATCTTACCCTAAATTAATCACTTTAAGGTGATTACTTAAGCTCGTATTTTAAAAGACGACTAAAATATCAAAAGCCATTTCGTTCTCATGAACACTAGACACGAGCAAATTGTCCAAGTACAAACAGTTAAATTGATGAGTTACAATTCCTGCTCAGTGACTGAAGGTGATTTTGTGTGGGACCCACTGTACACGTACCAGAAAGCAAACAGGAGGAGGGTAGAATATACCCGTGTTCTACCCCAGGTAAACGTACCGGGACAGGGCAGTGGAGCTGCTGTTTTCCCTGCATTTGAAAGGCATCGTTTGCTTCTGCCGTTCAACGGAGGTGAGTGGGAGCAGCAGCTACAGAAGAGAGACAGGAAGGGATTTCTGCTGTGTGCAACTTCTGCACCGCAGCCTGACCGCAGAGCCCTGGGTAACGCGCGTTCTGGAGGTGTTCTGCAACAAAGAACATAAAATAAATCTAGCTGAACCGAGTCGAGTTAAAGAGCTGAATGCACTGTGCACGGCTGCAGGAGCTGAATCCCAGCAGTGCTGAGGATGGAGCTGAGGGTGTACATTGGAGCCTGCATGGCTGGCAGTCCCGGCTGGCAGCACCTGACAGTGATTTCTTTTCCAGGAAAAACCGCTGTTTCCTCAGAGCAGCCTCGGAGTGACCTCCCGCTGACGAACACCCATCCCTGTCACCGCTAACAATGCCCCACGCTACTCGTGAAATATTTATTGACCATTCGAAGGCTGGGACAGCGAGCACGTTTAACATCCGTATGAGCTGACAGAAGGATCAAAGAGCCCAGAGCCTTTCCCACCCAGGGCTGTACCTCTGCAGCACATGCTCTGGCCAAGCTCAATAAAAGGACTCTGCTTCTCACCTTCGTTTGGGCTTTTTATAATTATTTGTTTTTTATAAATGTGAATTAAAAATTTATATTCAGCAAAGCAGCCTGGTTTTCCTTGCATCCTGTGAGCATTGTACGGTGAGCGCCCAGCGGGTGTTTAAAGCAGGAGCGCGTCTTTCCGACTGGACTTCAGCCATTTATCCCTCAAGCTGGCAAGGGCACAGAGTAGATCATGCCTCCCCCTCATTTCAGTCCCAACAGCCAAACTCTTATCTGCACCTCCGATAAAGGCCCATTAGAAAGAGGGAGCAAACAAGCGGATAATACCGATTGCAATTTCAATATCCCAAATCTATGCAGGGAGAACTGGAAGCAGAAGTATTTACTTTCATTATTTCTAATCAAATTTACTTAAACAAGCGTCCTAGACTGACTTTGCCACTGAAGTATCTGCTATTTTAAAATAAATTGATCAGAATCCAATTTTGGCCAGTTGCACGTTAACTTGGAGGGCTGAAACAAAAGCTGCTTCTGAGGAGACAAATATCACCGAGCCTCGGACACAAACACTGAACGCTACTTGCCTTTGTTACCAGATCAGAAAACTGCTGAAAAATGCAACAGAGGGAGGGAAAAGCCTGGGCAACAGATGCGAGCACAGTGGGTTTGAAGTTTAATACAGAAAATCTATTTGATATTTATTAAACTTAGTTTCTCCAGTTACAGTTTTGCATTGTACAAAGCATTTTAATGACACAGTAGTTAAAAAGATCTTTACAAATTGAAATGTGATACCCTTTTCTCCAAATATTTTAATTGTCATAAATTTGTTTAAAAATACACATTAAACGCATGTTTCAGACACTAAACTTTCTATAATCTCAATACCACAAAATACATAGAATATACTATACAGATGTGGAAAAAATCTAGTTAGTATATAATACTTTGCTCACCATTAACAGCTTTATTACGTGAAATGCACATACTGACTTAGAAATCCTAATTTTGAGCCCCAAAGTACCCTTTGAAATTTCAAATGTATTGCAACAAATAAAATCACAGTTTGTTTTTTTTCTTTTTTTAGGTTTTGGTTGAAGACAGATGCCTAAATATTTTGATGGAAACATGATGTAACACATGGACTTGTCATGTACAAAGCGTAGAACAGAGACATCCCGTTAGTTACTAACAGTACCTTTCTGTGGGATTGGTAAGGGCTTCACTTAGAAGTGACAGGTTAAAAGTTACCTTCCCCCACCCACCAGCCCTCCCCCAAAAGAAAAACCCTTCTTCACCAAATAATAATTTCAAATAAGATAAAGGATTTTTTTTAATAAATATATAAGCACTTTATCCTCCATATACAAAATTTCTTAAAACAATTTAAAAGGGGGACCAGATACAAATGTCAGGAACTGTGCTTGCAAAAGTCATGCCTGGTCCTTAGAGTTGAGTTTTCGGATGGATAATGCCAGCGCAGCCCAAAAACCAGCTGCTGCAGGAGTACTGTGCACCCAAGGACCTCAGCTGCTAGGGTTGCATACACAAACCACAGACGGGGAACGCTGCACTCCAGTTTCCCCGGATCAGAGTTACACCAGGAACGGAGACACCTCCGTGAAGTTTCTGGATGGAATTAAACCAGGTGAAGCGCTAACACACAGCAGCCCACAGCTGCTGCGCCCCCGTGTTTCCGATCGCTCCGCGTCATGCATTCGGGTGGAACCTGGCCGATGCTGCTGGCAGCACGACCGAGCGCAGAGCTCACCCCCAGGGGAGAATTCACTGACTGTAAATCCTGCCCCCTCCCTCCCTGCTCCCCAGCGCCGCTGTTGGCAAACGGCATCGCGGCAGCAGAGGCCAATCCCTCCCAAAGTCACGGAGCGGGACGTACAGAACCATTCCCTGATTGTTTGGACTTTATGGAACTTTCCTACTTCGCCAACGTGTCTCCCGCAGTGGGTCTGGGCTGGTCTGGGCTGGCTAGCCAAAGCTTCGGCCACCCTCCAGCCTGCACAAGGTCCAGCGTCAGCTCTGCCGCTTGGAAACACGGAGTTTGCCGCAACACCGATCCCCTGGATGGAGTCACTGAAACCCTGACCCAAGGATTTGTCAGAAATCTCACATTTTAGAAGCTGGTCACTCCCCAATGGGTAATTCAAACTTGACTTGCTCAGGCCCTTTTGTATCTGCCTTGATAGGAACACTGCAGCGGCAGCAAAGATCTGCTGGGAGATGAAATGTGAAATACAGCAAAGGTTGCCTCTCCTTCCAGCCGTTTGCCTTTCCGGCAAACCACAGAATTATCCGCCGACGGCTTTATTTTACTTGCCCCAGGCAAGCGCTACATTACTTCCACAAAGGACTGACTCTCTGTGTGTTGGGGCCATTCATAAATACATTTCAGGGCATTTTTTTTTTTTTGTTATCACAGCAATCAAGCCTCAGCAATCTAAAGGAATATACATTGCACTCCTGGATAATATGCGAGATTTCTCACCAATAAGATGGCGATTCAGCACTCAATAAATAATATATCAATATAGTCAGTTGCACCATCATCTAAAAACAAGTAGAACATATACTTTGGACAGACTGAGTTCATATATATATACATATATATTAAAGACACATACAATACAAATTGCATACTGCCATCAAAAGCCAAGAAGAGCCATCCCTATGCTCTGCTTTATGGCTCATAGTTTCAAATCAAAATAAAACGTCTCGGGCTGTTTTACTCTGGTGTCCAGAAGATTTGTTTAGAATTATAAATAGTTGCACCTTATCACCTAGGAACCTGCAAGTTTGACAGCAAATCCAAATCGTAGCGATAGCTGAGCAAGCCTAGTCTGATTAAGCCATTTTTTAAGATTCACCAACCAGGACCGCGTTCAGTGAGGGAATTCCAATTACGGCGCCGATATGTATTTAATATACAATCGTCTAGGGAGTCATTTAGGAAGCCAGGCGTTGGGGATTCCCTCCCTGTTAGTCACTCGTGCGACGCGCGTGAGCTCTGCAGGGACCCGCATCCCGCCGCTGTCACCCGGAGGGACCGGAGGACGGGGTCAGACCCTCCGCCTGCACTCGGACCCAGGACGGAAGCCTGTGGGTACTTACAATTTTGTTAGCGATGAAATCTGACAAAGGACCTAACTTTTCCCTCGGAAACAAGGGTCAATCCCAAATGAAGATATGCTTTGGAATCGCGAAATTCAAAGGATCTGTTTGGAATAGCCAGAGATGCGTAAGGCATTTCTCTTCAATCAACAAGACCACCGCCCATCTCCCGCACAGACAGCAGACACGGGACAGCACTCTGAGGATATTTCACCACGAAGGACACACTGTTTAGGTGGGACACTTTCAACCGGTTCAGGTCCACATTTTGACACGATGTAAAATCTGCTGGTTCTTTGAAGACAATTTTTTAAGATCGCCCAATCTAGGGATAAGTGATACATTTTTTAAAGAGACCGATTCAGCGTGACACCAAAAGGTATTTGTGGGACTCTAGTTAAGGAAAAAAAAAAAAACTCCCAGAGATGAGACCATTCCTGCAAGGAGCAATGGTGACTGTGCACGAAGGAGCAAGCCGAGGAACAGCCATGCTGGCTAGTGCAGCACTGCGCAAAAAATAAACTAGGAACGCAACTTCTAGGAAGGTATTTTTTATATAGCGTCAAAAGTGTGCTAGGCACTTTAGAGTATTAAAGGAAAAATAGTTGACAGTGTCCCATGAACCGAGATGCGGAGTTGGAGGGTACAGAGTTCTGTCTCGAACAGCAAACACAAACAGAAACGTGACCTTGCACAGTGATTGAATAAAAAGGATGCTCCAACAGACCCTAAGAGTAAATTCAACTCTCGTGGAAAAAGTCACAGGTCTGTTCACCATGTATCAATCCGTACGTAGCAAAGCTTTTCTGGAAGTACAAAACACGCTGGAACGCAAAGGAAGCTCTACGAATATGCAGCTACCTTTTAGTAGGTTACTAATTTGCAAAACTTCTAAACTCTTAAAGCCCATAGGACATACTGCAGTACTAAGTAGCGTAGAATTCTATTCCTTCTCTCGAGGTTGCCGTGTATTTGGCACTTAACTACAACTACACAAAAAATTTAGTGCAATCATTTTTCCTGAACATGCACGTTCATATCTGGTACAGAATAAAGGGTTAAATGGGAGAGAAAACAAAGCAGCATTCCACAATCTCACTCCAAAGGATTCAGAGTTTGACTCTTCGCCAGGAGCCCACCGCCAGGAGCAGTCAGGTGGTGTGACAGACACTCGTACTTTTTTCAAAAGGAAATGGAATTTTACCCAAGTACTGCAGAAGACCGCTGCATACAGTATACCTGGTCCTGCTGTAAAGCATCTTGTAAACAGTTCATAAAATCTTCATCTAAAAGTAAGGCATAAGGCACACCAGACATGTTAGGGGCACTAAGCAATACCGAAAGCAGCAGCACTGAAACCTTCTGCCCAGACAAGCACCTCGCGTGGGACGGTACTTTGGTTTGCACGATGTGAGCGCCGGCAATCGCAACTCCACGAACCACCGCTGTCGCACCAAGTCGCTCCCTCGCAAGTGAATATTCTGCTCCATCAAACGTTAGCGGGACCTTCATTAACACGGGGTAAATGCGAGTTTTACATCCGCTCTGCATCCAAGCAGCCGGTTTCCCTGTGCTGGCAGGTGTGCTCCCACCCCACGATGGCTGTTGCACTGTCCTCCTGTAGTGTCCGTTACCTATCAGACCCCAAAAGGAAAACACGGACCTCGAGTTCTACTTAAGATTCCTGGTTT